AACTCCTAGAATTTCTACAGCTCTATCTATCTGCTGTTATCAGGATGCCATTAAATATCTGATAACTTCTCTGGCAGTTTCAGGTAGAAGGCAGCACACTGCAAGCAATACTGTTAAAATAAAACCATGTTGTACTCAAATGATCAGTTAGGCTTTTTTGGAACAGGATGCTCAAGAGCTTAGTATATGCCAAAATGTTTTCTGTGTACAGAATGTAAGCCTATTCCAGAGCAAGTCCAGCACTGGAAAAAAGACATTTGCATTTTCCAGTTGTGCCATTATGCACACAGCTAATCTGGGCTTATATTGATGGTCCCATAAAACCGGCACTTACTTCACATAGTAGGTAAATGTCTCAAATCAGCAGATACCTTCCTGTAGTTTCAAAGACTTGCTAGTACGTTGTTCATGAACTTGATTCTCCTGAGCTGGCTGAGGGATGGAGGAAACAGAAAAGGGAAAGAAACACTGGCGCTAACTGCCAGTGTATGTTGTTAGTGCTGAAGTTTGCAGGCATCGTTGTTCTAATTTAGTGTGATCTAACTTGTATTTACTGTCAAAAGTCCTCAAAGATATTTTCCTTACCAGATCTGAGCGGAACACTCTTGCAAGGTTCGCTTCTCGGTATATTCTGTGTATCTGAAGGAGACATAAGGGGGTTCTTTGATTATTCTGTATCATGGAGAGAATTCACAGCAATCACTTGCATTTCAGTGCGGTACAGAGCAGAAGAGGGGAAAGGATTGATTCCACAGTAGTTTTGCATAGGGGATCTACCTGCATATGACAGGAAACATGTAGACTCACTGGTCATCAGGAATATTAAAAAAATTATTTCCAGTAGCAGAATATACACAACTTATGCTTTGTGGGTTATATTACTATGAATGTTACTGCTTTATTGAAGAAATACTCAACCAAGGAATTTGTGAGCTTTTTAACATGCATCTAAATCTGTCCATATGATGATCATCTTAAATTTCACATGTCATTACAGAAAGGAAATTGTATATTACACTTTTGCTTCTGTTTTATCAATTCCAGTAATTTTATATTTATCTCTGGTATTATTGATTGTTTTGAAATAGTGTTTGTACAATACCCAACAGAGTAGTATTTTTTAAAATAATTGAAATATGGTGAATCTTTTTTTCTTACAGAAGTTTTGATGTCGGGCTACATCGCTTTCTGGTCAGGTAAGCTAATGCCTATTTTGAATTGCAATTCCATATTAAAAAGCGTTTCTGTTGCTGTAAGTAGAGATGGCCATGTGAACTCAGTACTACTTGATATTTTCTATGGCAAGATCCTCTTTCATCTTCCACTATTAGTTTGAGAAACTTTACTTGGCTTGAATATCTACCCAATGTCAATCTCTAAGGAACCTCTTAAGGTGTCCTTCAGGAAAACCTTGACTCAGGAAATTTCAGTGGCAGTGTTCCACTCATTCCTGAGGAAATCTTAATTTTTCTTGTACTGAAGAAAAACTTCTTTAAAGTTTTTTCCACTGGTAACTCAAGTACCTTCATACCTTCTAATAAGGGCTTGAATTTTATAGAAAACTGTGACTGTGGAGTGGAGTCTTATTTTCTCAATAGAATACTTGATTGATTCAATGCACGGGTTGGACTGTGTTCTGAAGATGAATAAGGAGAGTGGAATAATTGTTGTGTGTTTTGTTTGGCATTTAGAGGAATGCAATGATTAAAGCAGGGCACTTCAACAAGAAAAGGGAGGTTAATGCATTTGAATGCTACACTGAGGAACTGTTTTTGCTGTTTGAAGTTCTTTTGTGTGAGCGAAGTCACAAGTGTTCATTAAGAATGTGTTTGCATTAATTTTTAATAACATACCTATCACTGTCTACTGATCTTTACAAAGAAGTGCGATGCATACCATGAAAGATGAAGTTTGCCATGGTCTTCAGGCCCATAGAAAATTCATTCTATCCGTTATTTCATCCCACTAAAATGGTGCCGTATCCATCTGTGAAGAACTTTACCCTGGAAGAATGAACCCAGTGTGTGAGCCAGAGCTTGCTGTTTGGGTCCTGCCATAAGGATCAGGTGATGTTAGGCTTCCCTTGATTTGGCCTTCCTACTGAACTCATTATTTTAGGCTACTTTGTCATATCTTCCGGATAAAGACTTTGTTAAGCCTTCACACTCATGAGTCCTTGTGGCAGAGGCTTTCAGCACTGATTCACAGACTCCCAGAGCTCTAACAGGTTGATAGCTCCTGGTTGCTTTTCACTCCTCTGGTCACTCACTTGAAGCATGTATTTTCTAATGTTTTCAGAACCCTGCTAATTGCTGTTGACTGTAGCTAGTAAAAGAAGCATGCAGCTCCAGACAGTGTGATAAATGCCTGGAAGCATTTCTCTGCCTTAGGCTCAGCATCACTTGTAAGTGTTCTTTTAGCTTTGTCCTCTGAAGTATCTAAGATACCCCTTGCAGATTCAGCTTCTCTAGATTATCAGTACCATGGCTAAATCCAGGAAAAAATGGTAATTCTCTGTCCAAGGTCTGGGTGCCAATTGGACAACAATTCAAAGGGTACATCTTAAAGGGAAGAATACTGGGTAGTACCACATTGAACACCATGCTTTTGTGGCTTAAACTAAATACAAAAAAATGACATGAGATCACACAAAGCCTATGTCAGAGGGAAAGTCAGGTTTGTTTTAAGGTTGCACAGGCAAACCCCTATCCTGATATCTCAACCTTTGAGTAGTAGCTTTGTAACATTAGAGTTATTCTTATGTATTTCTCTGCATGTAATGTGACAGCTTTTAACAGATGGCTCTCTTCACTAAAGCTGTAGTGTCAATATTGCTGAAGATATATGTATTTCAGTGTGTAGATATAGTTTTCAGACTACTGAATGTATTTACGTTCTGGTATCAGTTCTACAAAATTAGTTGCATCTATATTTTGACCAGCAGATTGATATTTTTTTAATAATCATAAGAAATGGAAATCATCATATTAAGAAATGGTTTTAAAGTATGCTACTGTTGTAAAGGGAATACAGTGCACAAGAAGGTCTCCTGGGAATGCGGACAATTACTTAACCAAGAATAGAATCATGGTAAGCATTGGTGTACTAAATTTGAGCCCATGGTAATGCTTCTGCCACAAAATACGCTTTCACTTGCTTCATACAAAGAATGTAATAAGATATTATTCTCTTATACTACATTGTTTTACATCCTGTGGAGATGCAGTATTGGAGTTGTATGCTCGTGCAATCCCTGGACCGCAAATAGCCATTGAATTTGAGTGAGTTGAATGTAGTCTTTGATTAATGTCTCGCTTTTTTCAAAGCCAACTGTGGGTTCTATGCAGTGTGGTGTTCTAACCTTAGAAAGCTTTAATACTTCGTTCTCAGTCTGTCACCTACCCCTGTTAACTTGAGGAGCCATCAGATACTTTCTCTGTAACTGTACTGCTAAGGAGGAAATATTGTTCCCTTCTGTTGTAGCAGTATGAGTTTTGCTTGGGTTTCCTTAACTAAAAAAACCCTTTCCTTTCTTTAGTAGATGACTACTGGACTAGGAAACAGAGGACTTAGTGTTGCATCTCTGCTGTTGGTCTGCCATGTGACCTTTAGAAAGTTATTGCTTTATTTTTGCCTATTTAGACAGTCTCCACTCCTGAGAACTTGCAGATCTTCTGTGTTCATATAGTATCTGTCATAAACAGTCCTCTTCACAGTTTGGGTTTCTATGTGTGAAAAACAAACAGTGAGGGAAAAAAAAAAAACCCAAACAAAAACTAAACAAATGAGTTGCAGGAAGTGTTGAAAATCTATGAATTGAGATTTGAAATGTTCAAGAGATACTATATTGTTTTAAATATAAGGACACCACCCCGCAGTGGAACAGGGAACCCAGTATGATACTTTCAAATATAAAATGCAGGGCCAACAAAACTAAAAACAGTCTCTGCTAAAAGGACAATCTGTGCCTAATTACTTATTAAAATGCTGATTGAAGGGACTAGGATGTACGTAGCCTGGCATACACAGTCAATGGTTTGTCCAAGTGAAGCATGACACAAAGTATGACAATTACAGCTACGCAGCTTCTTCTGTGTTCTTAGCAAAAAATAAATATAAAACAATTTCTGTCCATCCATCTAGCTGTGGCTTGAACTATGCTTCTGATACGGTTTAAGATAGCCCAGAAAAGTTTAAAAATGCCATCTTCTAAAATGTATTTGTTATTGGAAAGTGTATATTATACTGAAATGGCTAATGATGTCGTGTTTACTGGCGTGGGCGGAACTGGATTGTAGGACTACGTTTCTAATCACTTGCATGCTGAAATATGGTGGCATCATGGAACTACTATTTGTGAAATTAAGGTGTAATTGAGTATGTCGGGGTCTGGGCCTTGAACATTTGTTAACTACACCATAGTGTTTGAAGTGGGGATCCTGGAAATTCATGAGTGAAAGATCAGTAATTTCATGATGAGAACTGGGGTTTGATACTACCCATTAAAAATGTACTACCATACTTGGAAGGTCATTTGCCTACTGTTTTCACACAATGATATAAAAGAAAGTATTTGTTACTTTTAGATCAGCAAAATTATTAGTCAATGTTATTTAAATCACACAAGTACTATACAAGCATAGTAATAATTTTTTCATTGAGACTACAGGAAAAACTACCCTGTTTCTCCTAAATCTAAGCATTCTCAGAATGGCGCAATGGATGTATTTTCAGAGTTCAAAATGCATAAAAATAGCCTTTGGGGTAGCAGTTTAGAGGGGAAAGAGCAAGAGAGAGGCTGCCTGGTGCTGTTTGCTCACTGAAGCTATTTTATCCAGGCATTTCATCCAGTGCTGAGAACACAGCATTGGATGAAATAAGATCATGAACATACGAGAATATTTACTGCCCTAATGCCAAACAGTGCTTCCTTCAGGTCAACACTGATTAGGGCAGTGGAGAAGAATGACTGTTCCTGGAGATATGATCCTTTTGAAAAATTGCCATGCTTTCAGCACTGCTGTGCCTTTGAAAAAGTGTGAATCATACTCATTTCAGTACAGATCTGGCTTTGGAAAGATCTGCAGGACCACGCACCCCCAGTGTCTCCCAAAGGTGTCCATCTGTTAGCAGTGCTCACAGCTCGCCCCATGGTTTGCAATTACTTTAGCTTGTTTAGTGTTGCAGGTTATTTAGGTTTAGCTTATGACCTGGTGCAAAGGTTCTCCAAATACAAAACTTGAAAATCATCCCCTTTTTCTAGTTTTCTCAGGTGAAGCAAGGCATAGTTGAGCTCTGGGATCAAAATTTAGTATGTGTTGCCACCTCTATTGATTTTTAGTTAGAAACAGGGCACCACCATGTAAAGGCAGAATGGTCCCATGGTGAAAGAGGGGTTATGGTTCTAAATAAGGTACACTCATGAAAGATGGTAAGGAAAAGACTGTTCATCAGCTGGCTCAAGTCTTGTTTTCGTTCTCTGTGGAATCCCACAGGACCCCATCTATGTCCATGCTACCCAAAAGAATAATAGAATAATGATGTTAATGAACTATCTGACTGGTTTAAGAACATTTTTTTTAAAAAGTCATTTTTTCCCTTGTTATTCTACTTTGTTCAGAAAGGTACCACTGAGATCAGTTTCTGTGAGGTCAAACTTCTTCTAAAGTGCAGACATTTCCTCCCAAAAGACATCACAACTCTTTACTGAGATGGTGAGAAGTCACTAAGTGTAACCCTAAGGGAAGTGTAGATTCATTGAAAAGATCTGAAGAGATCTATGCCCCTGCTTAAAAAACCCAAGCAATTCTAGCTATTGCTGTTTCTGTAAAAAACCAAAACAAACAAAAAACCCTAAAAACCCAACCAAACAAACCCCAACAGCAGAAACCAACACTTCTGAGCTTTCCCTGTCTCTCTAACACACCTGGGCCTTGGAAAGTCAACATCTGATGCAACAGTCCTTTTCACTTCGTATTGCATCCCTCCTCTAACTCCATTGCTATGTAACATCAGAGGTGATTCTGGGCTCCAACAGCTAGACCCAGATTCCCTGCTGGGGTGCCACATGGGGTGCAGCGTAAAGCATGGCCCTCTTTTGGGACCCAAATACCAGTGCTAATGCTATACAGGGTCTCTGCTGCTGCTTTGAATGTGGCTGCCGATAAAATACTACTGATATTCTAATGTACTGTAG